ATAGCCCAATTACGAACTTGACCTGCCTGACAAATACACATATTTGTAAAACTTTTGCTCTCCTATTCCAACAGACAGACGAACGGACATCACTGAATCCATTTAGAATTTTGCGCCGGAGAATAAACGACAATTTGCATATTACTAATAATTATATTGAGTTTAAGCGCCAACGTACGTAATTTTCCCCCGCACAAATTTTCGAAAACTTCAATACTTATTTTAACGTCATTAATTTCTACCCTAATTTGTGTTTGCGAAATTATGTTTTCAAGAAGTTGCAAGCTGAATAAAATGAAATTAAACTCTTGTAAATTAAACTTTATAAAAAAGCCGAAGGTGTGAAAACATAACAAATTGACACAATTTTTGTTGCAAAAAAAATCTGGAAATTTTTAAGTACCATTATACATTTTCAAAACTAAAGCAACAGCTCAAAAATTAGGCCAAAACTCAGCTTAATAAAAGGTCTTCAATTTAACCACACAAACTACTCATATGAGAAATTGTTGAATTGTTATCCAGGCTCAATGGGTTGCATATTGAATCCATGGCCGGATTGAACATCTGCTCAACTCATTTTAATACCTAGTCCTCTGTTTCAGAACTGCAAGAACGTACAAATTACTAACCCAATATTTTATTATATCAAACAATAAGATGCAATTCTACTAGTAAAACTTGCAAGTTCTGGAACAGAGCATAATTGTTGTACAGGTTAGCACTAGTTACAATATTTTCACTTGCGTTTATTACTTTTGAAGATTTCGTTAAGTTGCGAAAGTTGATTTTATAAACCATCTCAAATCACTCGTCTCAACATTAAATCCCAATACCGAATCTTTTCTACCTTTTAATAATAAAAGCAAAATTTGATGTTGTTTTTGTAATTTTATCTTGTTAAATAAAAACTTTTCATATCAAGCAAGTTTATTTTTTGAAATATTCAAAAAAACATCACTGACCCCTTACATTTTACATACAACTAATTGCTTGTATGGATGTTTTCTCAATAAACGGGAACTTCATCACCAATGGGCACACGTGCAGCAACAGGCATTTTGTATTCTGTTTCAGGTGTTTCATAGATCTTCTCTTCTTTGGGCTCAACAACAGATACATTGTCGGGCAATGGCTTCTTGGGGCCAATCTTGTTCTTGGGGTCATAAGGCAACATAATCTTGACCTTGATACCCAAGACACCTTGACGCAACAAGACGTGGCGAGTGGCGGTTTCAACATAGTCGTTGCATGGATCACCAGAGTGGATCATAAGACCATCAACGAATTTCATGGACTTGGCACGTTGACCACGCAATTTACCGGAGACGACGACTTCACAGCCCTTGGCACCGGATTCCATGATGAAACGCAAAACACCATAGCAGGCACGACGCACAGCCAAACCACCGGTCAACTTGTAACGGAGAGATTCAGCTTGGGCGATGGCGCACAAACCACGGGTGGCGACCTTTTCAGCGTACAATTCAATACGGCCGGGTTCGAAGCTGAAACGCTTTTGGACCATAGCGGTCAATTCACGAATGCGACGACCCTTTTCACCCAAAACTTGTTGGGTCTTGGTGGCCATGATGATGATTTCGGTACGGGCGGGAGTTACACGTACCTCAACACCGGAGTAACCATCCTCGGCGAGTTCACGAGTCAAGAACTCGTTCAATTCAGCCTTGAACATGCCATCGGCAACAAACTAAAACACAAGAAACACTTGTTAATAAAATACTTTGTGATATTTTAATATGTTAAAAAAAAAACAAGACATCACTTTTGTATCAACCCATTGATGGTCACATTGTTTAAACTAATTAGTATTGCTTTTCTTCGAACACTGCCACCAAAAATCTTTATTGATATGCCAAGGGTTTGAGGTTAGTTCATAGTTTCACTGTTTATCTGGCATATTTTCATACTATCCACATGAAATTTTCACACACATCGATGAGTTGTACAGTAGTCCAGTGATTTAATGTAAATTTGTGGCAAAATTTATAAAATTACCTTGCGTTTTTTGGAAATTGTGAGGCTCATATTTATTTCATACGTCTCGCAAGAACGTGGTCAGAAAAAGAAAGAAAGAGCAATATGGCCGCCCATCTTCATCGTTAAAAGTGCTACCAAGTTTTATCGTTTGTTATCGAAAAATTCCCCCATCTCTAGACCGGGATTGTTATGCCCAGCAACACTACGAACATGGTTGTATTCGAGCAATAAACGGATGTAAAACGAATAACTAACACATTGGCTTGACGTTTGTCGTTTTTAAATATATGTGAAAGAAAGAGTAACAATCTATACAAAGTGAATAATGTTTTTAAGTGTTGGGGTAAGATTTTCCAAATTAATTATTAGTAAGATAGGTATTGAAATTTGTTTTCATTGTAAATACTTTTAGCTCATGTTCAATAAAGTGCAAGGTAAATCATAGAAATTGCTTTTTTCTAATGGCATTACAAGTAATGTCAATATATATACACATTGTGTGGGAATGTATTGTTATTAATAATATGCTTGTATAATTTTTAGAAGATAACTGCCATGGTACAAGGAATAGGTATGGTAGAGCAATCAGCTGATTACAATTTTTCTGAGTGTACCTTACTTCTGTCACTTTTGTGTTTGTAATAACTGTTTTGAAACATAAAAACAAAGTATTACAGTATCAATGATAGGAAAACTCTTTTTTATAATTGTTATACCCTCCGCCATAGTATGGAGGGTGAATTAAGTTTATCATTCCGTTTGTAACACCTCGAAATATACATTTTAGACCCCTCAAAGTAAATATATTCTTGATCAGCATAAAATTCTATGTCGATTTAGCGATGTCCGTCCCTCTGTGGAAATCACTCCAGCTTCCGAACGAAATAAAGTAGATTGACAAAATTTTACTCAAATATATATTATGTCTACAGGACCTTTGGCATTGAAAATGGACCATGTAGGTCCACGTCTTCTATAGCCCCCACATAACGGTACCTCACGATATTCGGCATTTTGATGATTTTAGCGATATTATTCACCGGAATTGTTTGGTATTTGACTTTCGTAATGGATCCCACAGCCCATGGTACAATTAGGAGCCCGCTTCCTGTCAGACTCTTTCAAAATTATATGAAACAAGTTGTTTTCATTTTCTTTCATATTTTTCCTCATTTTAAAAATGAATTAAATATTGAGAAAAATTAATGAAATGTCTGGACGTTCGCTCAAAAATATGATCCACGCTGTTTAATCTTTCAATTTCATTGCTAAACTGGTTAATAGCTTTAATGCGCAAGCCGCAATTTACTAGTTTTCCAATCATTGGTTTTGAAAATATTTTATTTTCATTTTTCAAAACAATAAATACATACACAAAATTGGCAGAAGTCGGGCACACTTAGAAAAAAAATTGTAATCAGCTGGTAGCTCTACCTTACCTTTTTATTGTACCATGCTACAGCCTAAGACAGAAAATTGTCTGTGCAGGTCCACGTCTTCGTCCCATATAACGGTACCTCTCGATATTCTGAGAGTGAGAGTGACATATTTTACAGATTGTGGAAAAGGGCAAAACTGTGTGTTTGTTTTAACAAATTTGGGGCACCAAAACGCAAAAAATTGTGTTTCGGAAATAGCTTCATTCTACCTGTTATTATTCCATGAGTAAAAGTTTTTTTTTTTTGCAATATGCAAATTATAATATTAAATTCAATTTTTTTAATTTAAAATGAAAATATCGAATTTTCGAGGGTAGTGTAGAATACAATACTTCCATTGACTAAAAGAACGATTTGTGATATAATGTAATAAATCGCGGGAACACTATGAATTGCAGAATATAGAGCATTACATGTCTTAATAAGAAAGGTTGCTCAACTTCAAAGAAACTGAAAAAATGCAACTCTGTGCTGGAGTCTTATAGCGTCAAATAGACTTTTGAATATGCAACAGTTGGTTTTGTTTATTTTTCATTTTTTAACAAAATTCTTATATTGGGGTTGAATTTGGGGTTATTCCACAAGATTGAATCTAAAATAGTAGGACAATACAGTTTTTCCCAATATCGTACAATGTGTTGCCATTAACATCGAAAGTATGCATTTATTTTGCAACCGAAATTGAAATAATTTCAAATTATTTTATATTTTTATTCAAAACAATACACACACATACACAAAATGTGTATATGTTTTGACAGAATAAGGGCACCAAAAAATTGTATTAGGGGGTAGCTTTGTTCTACCTTCTGTAATTGTTCCATGGAGCATTACATCAAGCATTATTCAAGACGTTGTTCGTATTTATTTATTTTTCCTTATTTTTAGAATGAAAGATGAATGAAATGATTGGATTTTCTTTGAAAATGAGACCCAAGTTGTTTAACAATTCACTTCCATGGCAAAACCAGCTAATATCTCTAATTCGGGCCCCGCAATGTACTTTTTTAAATCATTGATTTAGGATCAGTGGCTAGGCATATTAATGGCGAATTATAAAAGGAAATGACGGCAGGATTCGAGTGCAGCTCTGACGTTCCTTTATGTCACAAAATATGCCATGCGAAGACTTCAAGCTGATTATGTATCCTCACCTTTAAACGCAATACGTTTACCCTGCGTTGCTATATATTGCAAAGACAAATAGATTTTTAAATACTTTTCTTTACAATGCTCCTGAGTTGTTGTTATAATATGTGTTTTTCAATAATTTATGCCAATTTGTATAATACTTCATTCAAGTCTTTGCATTTCCGTAACATATTGACAGTTTTACCACTATATGCCCACTATATGCCCTAATGCTGCAAGCTGTATTAATAAGCAATGAACAACTACTTCATGAAGATTGGTTGAATTTTTTGAATTGGCAGCACCTAATTTATTCACATCCTTGATTTTTTACGTATGACCGTAGAGAATGCAGCCGTGAAACTGATGGTTTAAGCAACTCTGTAATAGGATACAAATTTTATCAACACTCAGAAGGCTTATGTAGGAATCGCCATTTTTATTATATTTTCGGCGTGTATAAGATATACACATTAGACATTTTACAAAGTGAAAACGGAGTTTTCCACATTAAAACAAGAGAATAATTAATATTTAAATAATTTGTGTGGATTGGCAATTAGGAAAAGAACATAATATTATATATTAATAGAAGTAAATAATTATCAAAGAAATGTCCGAAGCTGGAAAGAAATTGAGTGAGTTACGTGTGTGTGATCTCAAGGATGAATTGGAAAAACGCAAGTTAGATACTAATGGTTCAAAGGCATCGTTATTGGAGCGTTTAGAAAAGGTACATATTTTTTAAATTTATGAAGTATAACTTTACATTCAATGGAAATAAATTATGTTTTCTGTAGGCTTTAAAGCGAGAGGGTGTGGACCCTGCCAAACACATATTTGGTGGCAACAAAACTGCAACACCTAAAAAAACGGTCACTACACCAAAAACTCCAGCAGGAAAGGCCAAAGTTGTTGCTGAAAAACCAAAGCCTGTAGAAAAGAAACCAGCTGAACCGGTTGTTAAGGAGCCCGAACCTGAGGCTGAACCCGAGGAACAGGAGGAAGTTGCTGAGGATGAGGAACACAATGATCAGGAAGAGGAAAATGCAGAAGCCGATGAAAACAATGACAATGATATTGTATCCGATCAAGTCGGAGAAGTTGATGAGCATGATGAATGTCATGAAAATGGCGAGGAAGACGAAGAAGCTGCCTACGATGAGGAAGCAGAATGTGAAGAAGAACATGCTGAAGATGATGGTGATGCTGGAGAAGGGGAACACGAAGCCATTGATGAAACCTATGAAGAAGATGAAAACAATGCCGACCCAGAGAATGAGGAGGGCAATAATGAAAATGAAGAAGGTATCAATTTGACAATAGGAGAAGATGAACAACAACTACTTCATGATGAGGCTCCGGATGATAAAGATAAATCGACTGGTGAGTAATTAATTTGTATTTGTATTTTTATATTAAATGCTATGTGTGCTTGCGCCAACGCCCATTCTATTTTTATTTGGTTTTATTGTTGTATGCAAACAGACCTTACTTAGAATCGTGATAGACCAATTACCGTGTTATGTACTTCAATGAAAGCATGGTCTAATTTAAAAAATTTGAAATGTCAAACAGACTTTTGAACTTTTCCGAGGGATTTTTTTTAACAGTATTTGGTCGACAAAAGCGAGGATACCGCCTACCACAATAGAGCTTGTTTGAGAGACAATACCACCATATTAATTTGAAGTTAGGATTAGTAATTAGTCGATTTACATCCATGCGATACCAGCTGTGGTTAGTAGTGGAGTTTTGGTGCCTCTTAATAAATGAAGAATATCACTTAATATCCCAAAATAGCAGAACAAAGTAGTTCTCCGATTCTAAAAACTTTTCCTAAGTTTATTTATCATATTTAAAAACCCCAAGGTTAATTAAAATAACATTTTCCCCGGTGGCAAAAATTGCATACTTGGGCTCTAAAATATATATAGTTCTAAATTAGGAAATGTTTTGAAAAAGCTGTCTTGACATTTTGATCGTAATGCGATCGTAATGTTATAGTTGGATGTAGGAGTACTAAGTTTGGCCAAAGGCGATATAGACTTCGTCATCTGTTGCAACGGTCTCACAGTGCTTTCCTGCATGTTTTCGAGTTTAAGTCAGAAATTTAAAAAATTTCATTTATATTTGTTTTCTGGCTTCCGTTTCTTCAAAAATTACTTTGTGCATTCGAAACATAGGTATAAATATTTTTTAATCGTTATATTTCAGCTTCTGAGAAGAAGTTATCGGCAAAGGATTCTAAATCTGATAAATCTTCAGGAAAAGATGACAAAAAGTCGGGGCATGATAAAGATAAGAAAAAAGATGAAAAATCCAGTGACAAAAAAGAGGACAGGTAAAAACAAAGCTAATTATTTCAATAATTTTTGCAATTTTACTAATTTCGACTCTATTATATTTCAGCGATAAATCCAAATCTAGTCAAAAAGACGATAAAGGTAACTTTTTAGGAAGAACCAAACACTCAAAAATCAATTTATGTAGACTTTTGGTTATATATTAGTTTAGATGAAAGTGTCAGTGTCAAAAAAGGAAATTTAAATAATGAGGAAAAATCAGGACATTTCGAAAGCAAGAAAGTGTGAATTTATATGACTAGAAAATAACGTTTTATACAACGAAAGGAGGGAGAGCAAGAGAGAGAAAAATGGCGCTGTGAGTATATGTTTTGATCATTTAGGTAGCCCGGAAAGATGCAGTGTGACGCAGTTATCAAATGGTGTTGTCATCCCGCAAACATACTAGCGATTCCATATAATGAAAATGATCTTTATCGATTCTGAATGCGGAAATTACACTCGATGTGCACTTAGAGACTGACTTACATAAGTATGCTAAATTTTGTTTGTACTGTGAGTTTTTTGGCCTTTGCTGAGCTTAATGACATTTTGAAACGTTTTGGAAACTCGACTAGATACCCGGAAAAGACGTTTTTTATGTTGTCGCTGTGTTAATCTTTAACGGTAAGATTACGTTGCTTTGTCATTATATAAAAGGAATATGTAAGGAGTGCAGTAGTTGGAAGCAACTCGTTTTATACTGCGGTGCCAGAAGGTTCCTTCGGACATCTGATGTCGATTGCTGGAGTAGAAATGGAATCATCTTGGTCCCTTCGCACATCTGATGTAATTATTTATCGTTTACACACATATTTCATGGAGTGGCCTGTGCAGACAAAATGCGGACATTGGAAGGATTTAATAAGCGTTCGAATCAGTTATTAGCAGATATGAAAATGAATTTCTGAAGCCGGACACTTACTACTTCTCTAAAAAAGGCGATTACGTTGGATTAAACAAAACGTGGAAAAATATATGCACTGTTATGTAATACGTTTAATGCTGCAACATATATCGTTTCCTGGAGCAACCTGGTATTGGAACAGTTTGAGGATATAGGCAATGATCCAGTCATTGGCAGTAATTGGCCGTTAAATTTTTACATCTACTTGCATTTATTTCGGCTCACTGGTCTAGAAATATGTCTGATTTGACTGGATGGAACTCAACGTCTTGAGAAAATATAGGTACTATAATCGGTATGTACCGAGGTCGGTTCTTCATATTACATATGTGATTCAAGTTCCTGTTGAACGCGGAAGATTTTCCAGAAATATTTTCTTTTGGATAACATTTAACCCCATGGATAACTAACTAATGCTGGATGAAATCCATTCCCATTTACAACGGAAGATATAGTGGATGTAGCATAAAATTAAAGTGCAATCCTCGCTTAGTTTGCAGAAATGGATAAAAATTTCCAGAAATGCACAGCGCATTAAAAAATACAAACAGGAATCGAAGTCCAAAACCAAGACACAATATACAACAATCTCTCCTATAAATTCACACTTTCTTGCATACCCCATTTAAAATTAGAAGCAGTGTTTAGTTTTAGTTTGAAAAAATATCCTGTGATCAGAGTGACCAGCTAATTTTAAGAGAAAAAAAAGTGAAAATGCAATAAACTTTCAATTCCAATGCGGAATCGAAAACTAAAATAACTTAAAAAAAACAATACTTTTCAGACAACAACAACACATTTACATGTATATAACTCAACCTTCTTCTCTCTCTACTCTGTTATTATTTATATGGAAATTCCAGAGAAATCATCTGCAAACAACTCGTCATCGACTGCCACCAATTCAAAATCAACAAGTGGCGGCAAATCATCCTCGTCCACAGCAAATGCATCACGCAATCTTTGGGTATCCGGTTTATCATCCTCTACTCGTGCCAGCGATTTAAAGACAATATTCTCCAAATATGGCAAAGTCATCGGTGCTAAAGTGGTAACCAACACACGTACACCTGGCACTCGTTGCTATGGCTATGTGACCATGTCTTCGTCCAGTGATGCCAGTCGTTGTATTGATCATTTGCATCGCACCGAATTGCATGGCCGCATTATATCTGTGGAACGTACCAAAAATGAAATTGGTGGCAGCGCTGCAAATTCAAAGGATAGTGGTAAAACTTCTGGCTCAGCACGTTCAGAATCCAAGAAGAAGGACGAATCGAAAAAGTCTGCCAGCAGTGGTAAGGACAAAGCAAGTGGCGAATCAGGTAAAAAGGACAGCAGCAGTGAAACTAAAAAGGATGACCGGGACAAAACGTCTCGTTCGAAAGATGATAAAAGCAAAGAATCTAGCCGCGGTGAAAAGGCACGTTCTGAATCATCAGTGAGACGTCGTCCTCTGCACACAAACGATAGCCGTTATAATCATTATCAACGCCAGCGAGAAAATCGTGAACGGATGCGTCAACGAGAGATTCTCTCCTACAAGAAGATACGCGAGGAAAGGGAACGCCAACGGTTGCGCGAACGTGAACGTGAACTGCGTGAAGAAGAACGTCGTCGTCGTGAGATCCGTGACCGTCAGCGACAGGAGGAGGCCCGCTTGGCTGAAGAACGCAGAAAACTGGCATTGGAACGTGAACGCTTGGAGCGTGAAAAGGCTGAACTTTTACGTTTGGAACGTGAACGCCAGAAGTTGGAGCGTGAGAAATTGGAATTGGAACGTCTCGAGATAAAACGCCAACAAATGAAGTATGCTATGTTTAAAAACCCTAAAAAATTGCCATCGTGCATTTGTGTGCATTTCCTACACTCGAGTGTAGTTAAATGATGAGTAGTAATGTTTTACTAATAGTTATGAACAAAAACATTTATTTCGGGAAACCACATATTCTATGAGAAAAAAGAAAATAATTTCCTAAACCGAATATGGTATCTATTACCCTATAATGTGTGAAACACGAATACTATTATTCTTCTGCCTAAGTTGTTACGAAAATCAATCAACCAACATGAATCGTTATGTCGTTTCGTTGACACAAACTCCATATATTTCTCACAAAGAAAAAATAAGTTTTACCCCCGATCTCGTAAGCTATTTATAAGCTACACATTCTAAATACCCTTGTGGTGGTGCTGTTCGTTATATTCAACGCAACGCAATTAATCAAACCAACATCCCGTTTAATGTGAAAGAAGTGAACAACAACTGCAAATTTGTTATGTATTATTTAGGGGGGAAATAATAGGGGTTTGTTTCACATAGTCTTCCTATTCAATTATTAATAATGTTCTTTGTTTTGTTTTTACCATTTTGTCTCTTCACCTCTCACCAATGTGTGTGTGTCTTGTGTCGTTCTTACGTCACACTTTGAACATCGCTGTTCATGTTTAAAGGATTATGGAAACTCGTGATGATCCTATTAAACGTTTGAGCAAACGAGATGATCATTATCCAGTGGATCGTAAAAGAACAACGGCAACGGATCGCTATGAAGCTCCTCCTCCACCAAGGTTTGATGCCTCGTTGGACACAACATCAAGGAGGTAAGTTAGTCTAATGTATTTATTTTTATACTCTACACCACATAATGGTAGTGGTATTATGTCTTTGTTCATTTGTTTGTAACAGGAAGAATGAAGCGAGATAGACCCATAGTTACTTTGAGGATCTTCATTGAATCACTTTCTGAGTCGATTTATGCATGTCCATCCGTCAGTCCATGTATTCTTGTGAACAAGATGCAGGTCGCATTTATTATCTGATTGAGATGAAATTGAGATGAAATGCAAACCATATTTGTTTGGCCCAAGGATCAGATTTAGAAATAGCTCCCATATATTTTCAACCGATTAAAAATTAATTGTGCACCAAATGACCTGAATTTTGACAGATCCAACTTAATATAGTCTAGAAGCAAGTACATCAAATTTAGTGAAAATCGGTTCAGATATGGCTATAGCTCCCATATATATGTTTTAGCCGATTTGGTGTTTAAGTCTCTCACATGCGTAATAAGCTCTTTACAACAATGATATTTGTACCAGATATCAGATGCAGCCCAGGAATACCTCTGCCAAATTTTATCAAGATCGGTTCAGATTTGGATATAGCTCCCAAATATATCTTCAACCCATTTCGGGTTAATAGTGCATAAAAATGACCAATATCACTAAAAAAGTCCTGAATTTTGGCACATCAGACTGAATTCAGTCTAGATTCAAGTACACCAAATTTGGTGAAAATCGGTGCAGATATAGCTACAGCTCCCATATATATGTTTCATCCGATCTGGTGTTTAAGTCCCTCAAATTCGTTCTTCAAATTCGTATCGAGGTCGGCTAAGATTTGGATATAGCTCCTAAATATCCTTAATCCGATTTCAGGTTTATTGTGTAAATAATGGCTAATATCGGTCCAATTGGAGTGAATTTCGGGACGTACGTTTCCAATTTGTAGAACTCGGCTCCGATATATATTTTTTAATATGATCCATCCTTCTCATGCACTCTATAGCAATGTTATTTGGTACAAAAGATTAAAATGTCTCCGTCAAATTTAGTAAAAATCGATTCAGAAATGGATATGCCTCCCATATATTAGTTCTTTCTGAAACCAAACTATAACTGCTCTAAAGAGCAGGTTAATATTATTGTTTGGAATATAACTGGGAGGCTATTGCCATACAATGCCCCCAGACAATCGTTATTTTTGGCTTTTGTGTTAATGTCTATCATATATGATTCGATGGAATATTCCACCAAGACTTATCATGGAAAGTAACCCATCCACAGCATCGTATATTCATATTTAATCATGCCCATCTTTTGGTTTGTTGTTATGTCGTTAATGCCAACTGTATTTTATATTTTAAGAACCAGGAAATTATCAATAATGCATTTTTTAAAAAAAGCGATTTATATTCTAGCGCTCATAAACGTGATGATTATGTCAGCTCCTCCAGCAAACGTATTGATGATTACACATCGTCCTCTTCGAAGCGTATGGATTATGGTAGCAGTTCAAGCGGCACTAAACGTTCCGCGGTTGATGACTTTTCGGATATTCCCAGTAAACGCAGCACAGATGATTACACGAAACGTGGTGGCGGAGATTATTTGGGTTCATCATCAAAACGAAGTGGTTTAGATGATTATACCTCGAGCGGGAAAGGCGGCCGTGATGATTATAAACGTGAAGTGGAGATTCGTCATTTACCAACATCTGGAGGTGGTGGCGGTTCCTCATACCATTCCAGCGGTTCAATGCATAAGAGTGGAGGTGGCGGCGGACGCTATGATGATCGTTCGACATCACATAATTATCGTCGTATAGATGATATTGGGTAAGTTTCTTAATTAAACGGCAGTTTTGTAATTTATGGAAATGCATCCTTGATCGTCTATCCTAAATAAGCTTAAATATTTCATGAACAAATTATTGGTAAAAAATCATTAGTAACTAAACGATATTTTTCTATTTTAGTGGCAACAAACGTTATGATAACACGGGTGGATTTGGTGGTGGTTCTGGTGGCAACACAAGTAGCTGGAATCCTTCATCATCATCTCATATGGGCGGCAGTGGAGTTGGTTCATCTATGAAATACTCTAGTAATGGTATGTCATCAAATATGCATTCCGGTTCGGGTTGGCCGAAATCAAATGCCGATGATAATAGTTGGCGTGCGTTGCCCTCAACTCAAGATCGTTATGACCGAACCTACAATGAACGTGGTACTGGTGGTTACTCGGGAGGCGGCAGCAGTGGTGGCGGCATGTATAATAGTGGAGCACGTTCTGGGCAAGATCGTTATGGTGGACCCGTATCATCACGTTACTAAAGTCATTGGCACAAAATGCCTCGTATATACATAGTATTGTATACGTTAAACAGAAAAAAAAAACAAAAACATTTGAAGTCGTCACTGGCAGTCAGACAACAACAAACTTATTGACTATTATTATTATTCCTTATTTAAAGATGAACAAAAACAATATTAGTTGTTAATTATAATGAGACATCCCCATGTGGATTTGTTTTCTGCATTGGTGCTGCATTCATTTAAACTTCATTTAACTACTAGCACCAATATGAATTACATTTCTAATATGCTTTAAAAATGGTAGAGTCATTTCCTTTTGTTTATTTTTATTTTATTATTGTTTTTCTTTATTACACTATGTTAAGTAATTCAATGGCTACAACAAAAATAACATGTCTATGTTTTTTCCTAAATTATCTAGATCTTAAAATTCCCAGTACATGTTTGTATGTATTGTAATTTTAATTTAGTCCATAATGGTTCTAAGATATCAATAAAAAATATTTTATTCACAAGGGTGTTGCTTTAACTCTGAGGTACCTAATTTAAGAAGGAACTAGCAAAAAACGCCTAATATTTAACGACATTTTATATCGTCAACCAGAGAAATCTTATATAGTCAAATTGGTCGGGTTGAACTAAATTCTAGGGTTACCCATTACATGATCGATATACCAGAACCTTAAAAAATACTAATGTGTTCCCACCTTAAGTTCGTTATTCCGTTTGTAATTCATCAAAATAATAAAGCTGGGAATACATAAAGCGCGTATCTGGCTGGTTTAAGTCATCGGCTGGCTCATGGCAGAAGAATACAGGTAGATGCATCAACGCTTGGGAGCGTTGATATGTCAAAAAAATTTAAATGTTTTTTTAAATGTAAGTAGATTTTTATATGTTTTCGCCTTTTTCAACAATTTTTACAGATTTAAATAATTTTTCATTTAACATTTTCAATTCCAAAATTGGTTTGACAGTTCATTGTCCCAGCAGCTGTGTCGACGCGTCTACCTATATTCTTCTACCATGGGCTGGCTTCTTCGTAGATGAACTAATGAGTTTTAGGTTAACTTAGTTCGATTTTGGCCCTATACTCATTTCCGAAGAAGCCAGCCAAGTATGCGAATTGTGTATTTCCACCCTAGCTTTGGACCCAACAAAGTATTTATATTATTGATGAGCTTTTGTCTGTAGGCAGGTCAAGTTCGAAGATGGGCTATATTGATCCACGATATCGTATAGCCCCCATATAACGGTACCCCCCGATATTCGGTATTTTGTTGATTTTAGCCACCATTTTCAATGGCATTGTCTGAAATTCTACACAAGGAGTTCTCTGTGAGTACTATACCCCCTTAAAAAGAATTGTATATATAGGTCCACGATATCGTATAGACCCATACAATTGTACCCCCGATATTAGGCATTTTGATGTTTTAGCCACATTTTTCAAAGAAATTGTCTGAAATTCTAGACAAGAAGATCTCTGTGAGAACTTTACCCCCTGAAAGAGAATTGCCCATATAGGTCCACGATATCGCATAGCCCCCATATAACGGTACTTCTCGACATTCGGTACTTTGATGATTTTAGCAACATTTTTCAATGGAATTGTCTTAAAATCCACCAAAAGAGTTCCTTGTGAGTACATTACCCCCTAGATGAAATCGTATGTCCCTTATAAAACGGTTTATCCCGATATTCGGTATTTTGATAATTGTAGACAAATTTTTCAATTGAATTGTATGAAAATCCATACAAGGAGTTCCCTCCGAGTACTTTACCCCTTGAAAGAGAATTGTCTATCTAGGTCCACGTTTTAGTACAGCACCCATATGACGGTACCCCCAGATATTCGGTATTTCCATGATTTTAGCGACATTATTCACCGGAATTGTTTCAAATTTCGTATTTTAAGTTCGTAATGGGTACTACAATCTATGGCGGAAACATTTCTAAGCAGTTACACGTCGTTGTATAGCCCCCATACATTTCTTTATTCGGTATTTTGATGATGTGGCAACATTATTTACCGGAATTGGTTTAAATTTCGAATTTGAAGTTAGGTGTCGTAACGACAGCTTATGACAAAAAATTACTTATGAAGGTTTTCACTTACGAGGTATTTTTCGACGGATTTTTTTTAAAAATTTCAAGTTCTTTTCTTTTGGAGGAGGTAATAAAAAATTTGGCCCGGACGAACTTAGCTGCTTTTTACTTGTTAATTCACAATTGTCATTCATTTTGGCAATTCGTGTAAAATCAGCTGGTCTTATCGGATGACTTAATGAATAGGCCATTGTATTTACTATACTCGTCATGGTCCATGTCTAAGGTTCCCCTTCTAAGCCAGCGTTATTGTGTTTGAAATCACAGAACAAAAGATAAACAATAGGTAAAAAGGTTTAAACAAACCTTGACATAAAATTTGCAGGAACATCTTTAGTTTTGCAATTTTCTCCGACATCATAAAGGGAAAACCGGTTATTGTAGTAAAAACGTTTACATTCTTGTTATTGCGCCATGATACTCATGTATTTATGATGAGTGATTTAAAAAACATTTCATCTGATAAAGCCTTTACTGTGCCATGATTGACATAAAGTGTTTTTATTGGTCTGTTCCAGAACTGCAAGAATATAAAAGTTTTTACTACGATAACTCAAATTGAAATTGTAAAACTAGTAGATTTTTGCGGGTGCTGAAACAGAGCAAATATTTCTTTGGAACAAATACATCTCGTCCAGGAGTTTAAATTCTCTTTTTTACACAAATTCCTTCTTTATTTTGAGTATTTTTACAGGTGGGATAATTTTATAGTTTTAAAAATTTTTACAGTTCACGTTTAAATGAAGAAATATAAACATGTCACATCTCATCCCAAATCATCAATTGAGGCTATTAGAGGTGTTGTAGTATCCACTAACACTAAAACACTGTGAGGCAAAGGAAAAATATCATTGACAATAACATAATAACCTTTATCCAATTGTTCCGGCGAAGAGTAGAGTCTGAAAGTATTAAAACTTTTAATTTTATTATATCAAATGCAACATTGCCACTCACGCAAGTATGTCTTGAGGTTCCAACACTAATTCAGATTTATACACCGAGGCTAAAAAGTTTGTGAACGCTGCAGTGCTATTGCCTAGTTCCAAATCCATTTGATGCTGTTGCAACTAAAAAATAAATACAATTCTATTTTTTCTTCGTATATCATTAAGAATTACATTAAAAAACTACCTCTGTTTCCTGTTCATCCGCCAAACTTCCCTCACTTATGCCCGGTATACCATTACGTGTACCCCAGAAGGTTATGACATTGTCATCCGAACATACCACCGAACACTGGTCGTTGCACTTACATTTCTGTGATGGAGAGAATAGAGAAATGTTTCCATATGTTGATATATTTTGTCGAAATTTCAAAATTGAGGTCGGAACCTATATTTACCATTATATACCTGTCCTTAACGAGCTCAACCAGGGTTGCCGTATCCAATATGTTGCTGCAATTACCAACACCACGTTGACCAGCTGAATTTGAACCCAAGGTAAATACATAACCACCTTCCACCAAAACAATTGTGTGGTTTGAAGAGAAACTGACGTCCACTATTTTGTGGGGTATTAATAGCTTTTTCTAAAAGTGAATAGCGGATTAGGATAATTTTCATTTTTTTTGTGACACTACCTACCAATGCCATTATTCTCGATGTTTTCTCAAAACCCAATTTGTTGTAATCATTACTGCCACACACATACAATTCACCACTTCCAAATAACACCGCCGATGTATCGGGGCCACAAAAGATATTTCTCACCTTGCCTTTGACATGTGAAAGCAAAATCTTTTGGGGTATTTTCCTGAAAGTCATTCAGAATCAGAAAACCAAAATATTAATCCACTCTATTTGACATAGAATTTGATTGTAACCTACTGTTGCGTTTGAAGTGAACCTAAACCCAATGCCCCATGGACATTGGTACCCCACGTATATACAGCACCATCCACGCTTAGGGCCAGCACATGTGTTGTACCACACTTGATTTCTTTGACATGGACATTTTCCAATTTCTCAATTAACTTTGGACTGTGATAGGTTTTTTCATTATCATGACCCAAGGCATATTTGCTATTATCACCACAGGATAGAATCGAGCCGGTTTGTGTTAAAAGTATGGTAAAACCTTCACCGGCACAAGCGCTATAATACAGTATCGTTTTAACATTTATATTGTTTGGGAAATTATATTATATTATTTTACCTTATAATATGATAATTCCGCACACTTTCCATGCGACTGGGATAGTGTTTCCATGCCTCCAAAGAACTTAAACCCAATTGGCCATGTGTGCCCTCGCCCCATGTGTAAACGGATCCATCTGGTAGTCAAGAAAAAAATGTTAATCATTAATTGGAATATCAGGTAAAATGTCTATAGGTGAGAATACATAATCAGCGTTGCTCTTTTACGAAGAAGCCAGCAGATGACTTAAAGGTGGGAATACATAAAGCGCTTATTTGGCTAGGTGAGAATACACTAAACGGGTTTTCGACTGGCTTAAAGGTGAGAATACATAAAACGATTTTTGATTGCCTTAAATCATCGGCTGGCATCTTCGTAGAGGAACAAAGGAGTTTTAGGTTGACTTATTTCGATTTTGGCCCGCCGAAGACTTAAACCCATCAAAAAGCGTTTAATGTATTCTCACCTTGAAGTCTTTTTTGACTGGATTAAAAGTGAGAATACATAAAACGATTTTCAACTGGCTTAAGTCATCGGCTGGCTTCTTTGTAAAACAACAAAGGAATGTGGGGTGAACAAGTATAAATTATGGGACGAAATCGAACTAAGTATACTTAAAACTTTGCACTTTAAAAGTGAGAATACATAAATCTTCTTCGTAAAAGAACAAAGGAGTTTTAGGTTTACTTAGTTCAATTACGTCCCATAATTTATACTAGTTCACCCTACGCTCCTTTGTAGTTTTACAAAGAAGTCAGGCTATGACTTAGGCCAGTCAAAAAAGCGTTTTATATATTCTCACTTCTAATCCAGTCAAGAAAGCCTTCCATGTATTCTCACCTTTAAGGTGACTAACTTATGTTATCGGCTGACCTTTTCGGAAAAGAACAAAGTAACGCAGCACCAAATTCGATCTAAGGCTGGAAATACATAAAGCGCATATTTGGCTGGCTTCTTCGTAGATGAACAAAGGAGTTTTAGGTTGACCTAGTTCGATTTTGGCCCTAGGCTCCTTTGTTCATTTCCGAAGAAGCCAGCCGATGACTTAAGCCAGCCAAATAAGCGCCTTATGTATTCCCAGCTTAAGTAAACCTAACACTCCTTTGTTCCTCTACGAAGAAGCCAGCCGATGAATTAAGCCAGTCAAAAAAGCGTTTTATGTATTCTCACCTTCACGAAATAAATGTTTTAGAAGTTAACAACATACCGCTGTTGACAACAACAAAATGCGTTTCACTTGTGGCCACCGTCAATATACAAGCCTTCGGTGGCAGCTGTATAGGATTCATGCTAAAACTATTGCCAAATGATTTGAGTTGATATAACACCGATCTGGAAATAAATATTTATTTTTAACCAATATTGAATGGAGTATTTTTAATTATTTTTCTCGCCTTTTCTCAACAGTTTCTTCGGGCGGTGCTGTTTCAGCTTTCATTATTTCTTTTGTTTCGGTTTGTGCGGTTGCCAAATCCACAATGGTGGAGCGTCTTGAGCTATGTTCTAAAAGGGGTTCTTCATGCAGTGAAAGCAATTTCGAACTGTTTGAGGAGACCATTGTAGAGCCTACATCATCTTCATATTGGTGGCTAGAAATTGAAACATGATATGACATATGATGTTATTAAAGGCCCAGCAACTCACCCCTTATTTTTACTTAAGTTACGAAATATTAATGGAATCCAGTATTCCAGAATTTCCGAAGCTTTAGGGCGTCTCGCGGGATCAACCTAAACAATAAAGTTATTCAGTTAAATCCAGAATATATTGATTTCAACAACCAACCTGTAGCAGATTATTGAGTAAACTTTTCAATGCAGATGAATAGCCCTTAGGCAATGGTGTGTATGAGCCCTAAGAGAAAAATAAAGGATGTGTAATTTTTAAATGTATTGACATGTGTATTCCTTACCGCCATAATTTTCCCCACCAACTCGGATAAATTTGTGGCAGCAAATGTTTTCCTCAGACAGCACATTTCACCCAATATACAACCCAATGCCCAGATATCACTCTTATGATCGTATTCCTTTCCTTCACACATTTCGGGACTAAAATAGTACGGCGTGCCCAAAACTGTTTGGGCATGTATTTTCGTATTCATAATTTTCGAAATACCAAAATCACCGATTTTGACAATGCCTCTTTTGTTCATAAACACATTGGCGGTTTTTAAATCTCTAATAGGATGAATGAAAAGATATAAATTTAAGGAATCAATGAGAAATATAATACATAAACAGCTTGGGAAAGAATACAAAAGCAGCTTGAAAAGTGGGAGTAGAATTCGAATTTCCCGAGGTTGTCCCTTGTAATTGGATAATATAATAACATGAAGAAGCCAGCCGATGGCTTAAGCAAGTCAGAAAGGCATTTTATGTACTCCCACCTTTAGTTAAACTTCGGTCCATAATTTATACTTGAGCATGGGGTGATCCTTTGTTCTTTTACAAAGAAGTCAAGCGTTTAAAGTGAGAATACATTACATTTTTGACAGGCTTAAGTAATCGGCTGGGTTCTTCGTAGAGGAATAAAGGAGTTTTAGGTTGTTCTTTTACGAAGAAAATAGTCAATGACTTAAGCAAGTAAAAAACATTCTATGTATTTACACCTTAAAGGTGAGAATACATATAAGGGTTTTTAACTGGCTTAAACAGTCGGCTGGTTTCTTCGTAAAACAACAAAGGAGCGTAGAGCACACAAGCATAAATTACGGATAGAAAATTGACTAAATCAACCTAAAACTCCTTTGTTCTTTTACGAAAAAGACAGCCGATGAATTAAGCCTGTCGAAAAAAACCTTTTATGTATTCTCACCTTAAAGGTGATGATACATAAGCAGCTTGACATCATAATATGACATTTTAAGGCCAAATTATAGAGAAAAACTATGGTAGTGTTCGAGAGCGGCTTAGACATTTCATAAAAATGTATCACAAAATTTTCTATGACATCATGGCAAGCTGCTAATGTATCATCACCTTAAAGATTAGAATATATAGAAGGATTGTCATTCAGACATAAGAAATCGGCTTGATTTTTCATATAAGAATTGACTTAGTTCAATTTCGTCCAACATAATCCTTGAGATGACAGATCAAATCCTTCTATATTGGAAAAAGCTTGGCCGCGGCAAAAAATCGAAGCATTGCGTATGTGGTAGCAAAATACAATTCTGATTCAAGACAATTTGTCTTGTGTAAATGCCCGGTTACCGGCGTACCTAATACCCAACGTAATATCGCCTTTAGATACAAAATTTTATCTGGATTCTGGATTCTCACGACTGGATTTTTTATATCCCGCGCAGGTAGTGTCTGCGGGTTTTTATATTGGTACGACGGTGCACTCCAAAGTCGCAAATATTTCCGCAAAGGCGTTGTTTACATTTTTCAATCGAATAATAACAAACAAAGTTAACCCAATAGGTATATTCATGGTAGAACTGAAAAGGTAAAATCATGTAACCATATATTTACAATATATTCATAAATCCATTGTATACACACAAAATCTGAGATGAGAACTGTTTTTTATGCATTAAAATTTGGCAAGTTAAATTACAGAAAATGCAGAGCTGGGAATGCTAATTTGAAATGAGGTTATCTGTATTTTACTGTACCATGGGTATATTAAACTTAATGGGCTACTCATAGTAGAAGAATATAGGTACTCGCATCGACACAGCTTCTGGCACAATGAACAGTCAAAAAGTGATTCTGTTACAGTACGTTTACATATAAACGGGTTGATCCACTGGATTTGGATAAAAAAATGTCAAATCGTTTCCTATACTTCAAATAAATCCACTTAAAGTAGGTTAACCCTACAAAAAGTTGAAACATAAACATGGAATTAGATCATATTAAGGAACAAGGGACTACACACGATGGCGACTTTTCTGTCGTTTTAAAACATAGTTTTTTTTGCAAATTGAGCCCTCTAAATGGTTCCAAAATGTATTCCTGTTTACGTCCCTGCAAAGAAGTTTAGGCACACAAAAATACACGAAAACTCACCGATGCAATATATTCTCCGAATGCATATAATTTATAGCACTGCATATCTGCTCAAACACATTAACGATATAACGCTCTGGGAAAAAATCCCGCATTCCACGTTCACCAATTATTTGAGCCAATGTTCCACCATCGGCATATTCCATTTCAATTAGCAGTGTATTATCCTTGATAAAACTACCCAAATAACTGATGATATTCGGATGATGTAGTTTCGAGAATACCTCCACTTCATTCATGGCCAAATCCCGTTCTGATGTTGTTAAATCGCTTAGATTGATTTGTTTGAAAACGACATAATGATTGTCGGTTTTGCGCCGATATAAAACTGCAATGCCAAAGGATCCTTGACCGACAACCTTTACCTTTTCATAATTACTCAGCTCGGTGCCGGCTACATTCAACGAATTTTGTGTATTTTGTGAATTAACCAAGGAACGTGGGGTATTTCGAAGCAGGACAACATCCGATTCGGGCGAATCTAGAGTCCGTTCTTCGTCCAATGAGTGATTTGTGGTTGCAGACGATATTGAAAAGACACTGGGCTTTGTAAAGCCATTGAATGTGCCGCGTTTTTTCGCTTTGCTGTTGGTCAACACAATGGAGGAGGATGTACTCGATGTGGATGAATCTGACACCCGCCCGTTGAATATTGGTAACGACGAAGCTTTGGCTTTTATTTTTTGCATTTTTTCTTCTTCTGTAATTCTATCGATTTTATTTTATGTGGTTTTCATTGAAACCAAAGTGTCTGTCTCTTGTGGTTTCATGTGTGGGTTGAAAATGTCCTGCAACTACTAATGACAGTAAAAAAACTGTATCAAGTTAACCATAACTTGTGGTGGTCATTTTAATGGCCAGAAATTTTTTTGTTGGTTGCTGAGCAACGATGCAACTGGTGAGAAATCAGAGTCGCACATGGTGGTGGTTCTCGGGGAGTTAGAAGAATAATGATTGCGAAGTAGTGACTAGTTCTAAGAAATATCCGCCCAAAATAAAATTGTGTTCATGACTCTGATGTAATTGTTTATTTTGTTTTGTTTGTATGGAACTACTATGTAAATACTAATATTAAATTCAAAATGGCATAGAAGTGGCATATAAGCATACTAATACCTTGTTAAATACAATATGAGTTATTCCACGTGAAAGCACAATATGAAATCACACAACAAATGTAAGTTCTAAAACCAACATCCATCAATTCAGATCCGGGAATGGGAAAACTGTAAAAATTTGGGGATTTCCCATATTCTTATTTATATATATATATATATATATATATATATATATATATATATATATATATATATATATATATATATATATATATATTTTTTTTTTTTTTTTTTTATACCCTACACCACATAGTGGTAAGGGTATTATGTCTTTGTGCATTTGTTTGTAACATGGAGAAGGAAACGAGATAGACCCATAGTTACTTTTGAGAACCTTCATAGAATCACTTTCTGAGTCGATTTATGCATGTCAGTCCGTCTGTCCATGTATTCTTGTGAACAAAATGCAGGTCGCATTTATTATCCGATTGAGATGAAATTTTCCAAACAATATTTTTTTGGCCCAAGGACGAACCCTATTGAAATTGGTGAAAATCGGATCAAATTTATATATAGCTCCCATATATATCTTCATCCGATTTCGGGTTAAATGTGCACCAAATATCCACTATCAGTCCAAATTACCTGAATTTTGGCACACCCAACCGAGTTCGGCCTAGAAGCAAGTATATCAAATTTGGAGAAAATCGGTTCAGATATAGCTATAGCTCCCATATATATCTTTCATCCGATTTGATCTTTAAGTCCCTCACATTCCTACTATGCACTCCACAACCGTGATATTTGGTACCAGGTATTAGATGGAGCACAGAAATAGCTGTTTTAAATTTTATCGAAATCGGTTCAGATTTGGATATAGCTCCCATATATATCTTCATCCGATTTCGGGTTAATTGACCACCAAATGGCCAATATCAGCCCAAATGGCCCGAATTTTGGCACATGTGACCGAGATTAGTCTTAAAGCAAATACAACAAATTTGGAGAAAATCGGTTCAGAAACAGCTATAGCTCCCATATATATCTTTCATCCGATTTGGTGTTTAAGCCTCTCACATTCGTAATATGCACTCCACAAGAATGATATTTGGTACCAGATATAAGATACAGCCCAGAAATAGCTGCTTGTAATTTTATCAAAATCGGTTCAGATTTGGATATAGCTCCCATATATATCTTCATCCGATTTCGGGTTAATTGTGCACCAAATGGCCGATATAAGTCCAAATGGATTGAATTTTAGTACATCGGACCAAATTCAGCCTAGAAGCAAGTATATCAAATTTAGTGAAAATCGGTTCAGATATAGATATAGCAACCATATATATGTTTCATCCGATTTAGAGTTTTAGTCCCATACATTCGTAATATTCACTCCACAACCGTGATATTTGGTACCAGGTATTAGATGGAGCACAGGAATAGCTGTTTTAAATTTTCAGATTTGGATATAGCTCTCATATATATCTTCATCCGATTTCGGGTTAAATGTGCACTAAATGGTCAATATCAGCCCAAATCACCAGTCTATTCATGCACGATAGAATTATATAGATTTTGATTTTGTACCAAATATCTCATAGAGCTCTGAAATGCCCTGTATAAACCTTTTTACGAGAGCTCTACTAAATATGCATAGTGGTGTAGGGTATCATATAGTCGGCCCCGCCCGACTTTTGAGCTTTCCTCACTGGCTTTTTTTTTAACGGATTTTATTTTTTGAAAATCGCCAAAATCGTTCCAAATTGTGGAGGGTATTCAAAGTTCGGCCGGTTGAACTTACAGATTTTTTACTTGTTTCTTTGAAGTTTAGTTAAGTAAAAAAACCGTAAAAATGTACACTTTTTCCGTCTATTGCGATTTTTGGTCGGATTAATGTTGCATTTTTTCCTTCTAAGTTTTATGGAATAACCCACATACAGTATTTGCAGGAAATAACAACACATATTTTTCTAGCTATACAGTGTGTATGTATGTGTAATTGCGTTACATGTCAACTGTTGTAAGAAAAGTTCGTTGAACTTCCGTTGTATAGTGTATAATTAGTGTTATTGTTCCGAAGCAAAGGAACTAAATCAAAATATATTTCAACTTGTCACTACATGATTTATGGATATCAAAGAAATCTTTATGTCAATTAAAGTTTTCTACATCATTGGAATTTGTGGGATAATTACATTTATGGCTTCACTGGCATTAACTATAGGCTTCACATAAAGGGATCTGTCGCTATTCGGTATTTTGATACTTAAGAAATTGTTTAAAACGATTTTTTTCAATAGAATGTATACTTATTTCAAAATAGCCAAATTTGTGACTTAACGTCCTGCCAATTGCAAAACAGGAAAAGCTCGTGTTCATGTCTCAACCAGAAAGCTTGCTCAACTATAGACTAATAAAAATGTAAACGATGAAATGTTCTCACCATGGTACAATGAAATAAAGGTAACCTAAAGCATTCCCAGCTCTGCATTCTCTGTAATTTACCTTGCCAAATATACAATATATTCATGAATAAATACGTATTTTGACAATAAGATGTTGTCAAATGAATAACTTTGCAAAAATTGTCAACATATGATTGCATGGCCATACCTTCTTAGTTCTACCACCACTTATCATTGAAAAATTCGAATCAGCAGATGTCGTCTATTTCGGTTGAGGGGTATGAGTGAAAATATTGAAGCCATTCAAACCTAAAATGTTAAAAATATTAATCACTGTAAATGCTGCAATGTCCCATACATCATGACATCGAAAAATATTAAATTAAATTACTGAAATTAAATTAAATTGAAAATCTCGACAGTGCAAAAAACACACCTGACTGCCCAAAAACTGTTGTTGCGACTTCAAAGAAATTAGGAAAATGCAACTCTGTACTGGAGTCTTATTGTGTCAAATAGACTTTTATATATGCAAAAATTGGTTTTGTTAGTTTTACATATTTTTTCACAAAGTTATTATAATGGGAGAAATGAATGGAATATTGGTGTACCGAAAAAATTAAATCCATGATAGAAAGACATAGTTTACGTGGAAAATATACAATTCTGTTGAGCCTGAATTTGAAATAATTTAAAAATATTTTCTTCTTTATTTAATACCATATACACACATATTCAAACCGTGTAAATGTTTTAACAGAATAGGAGCACCTACCTTTATAATTGTGCCAGGCTTGTTTTTATTTTTTCCGCTTGCTTATTGGCATTGTAGAAGAATACAGGTAGTTGCATCAACGCTTGGGAACATTGATATGTCAAAATTTTTTAAATTTTTCTTCAAAAATAAATATATTTTTATATGATTTCTTATACGAAGTCCTTCGGAGGTTATTATAATAAGCGTTTTTTAACAATTTTTACAAATTAAAATAATTTTTCATTCAACATTTTCGATTCCAAAATTGGTTTAACAGTTATGTTAATGCGTCTACCTGTATTCTTCTGCCAAGCCGTATACGATAAATAATATCCACTGGATTTATGAATACGAGTTACGTGACTTATAGTACGTTTATATATATGAGGGTTAACCCACTGGATTTGGATTTAAATTGTCATATGCATTAGTTTTACTTCAAATAAATCCTCTCAAAGTAGGTTAACCCTACAAAAAGTTCTAACGTAAACATGGCATTATACTCCAGGGTATAAGTATTTTTTTCACCAAATGGGTAATATTAGCCCAAATAAGACAATACGTCAAATCTGATGAAAGTCGTTTCAGAGTTAACCCTGATAATTGACCAATCACAATAAATTTGACAAAGGAAAACATACGTTTATTTTATTCTGATTGGTCAATGATCACGGTTAATTCCGTCATAAATTTCCTTTGTATACTCAGTAAGTTCTTCTTTACAAGTTTTGGCTGTAATCAGAGATTTAAAATTTTCAATTCGAGTGAGAGTGTAGTGGAAATACTTACCTTTTCCAGAAGTTTAAAAAATCTTTTAGATACATTATTGGTATTTTCCAGAACTGCTAAAATGTAAAAGTTTTCACTACTAGCTGATTTTCCCTTTATGATAGCGAAAAAATTGTAAAATAGTAGACTTTTGGAACAGTGTATACATATCTTAATCAGGTTTAACTATGTTAATTGACCAATCACAATAAATTGTTAGTATGATTTATTGTGATTAGTTAATTATTAGGGTTAATCCTTATAAATATTTGTGTGTAAACGTAGCTAAATAATACTTACAGACGCATTTGTATATCTTAATTTTATTCTTCAATTTATTGTTTTTTATTTTTTTTGTTATACACTTTTTGTTGTTTTATAGAGTTAATAAAAATGTCATATACTTATATTAAAATGTATGTATTTCGGAAATTAGAGATGCATTTGTTTTCATTTTATTCTTTATAAAGATTTCAATAATATACTTTTGACAATAAACATTGACTAAAACTGAGAGAAAAAGAAAGCAAAACAATAAAAAATTGTTTCATATTATTAAAATAAATTTCAGAGTCATGGTTAATTTTGTTTTACTATTCGTTGGGTTTGTATCTGTTGAAACAAAAATGTACAATCGAACATGTTGTAACGAAACGACTGCAAATAGAAAATCCTAAAGGTGATATTTTGCTTTTTTGATTGGCCTAAGTCATCGACTGGATTTATATTCACTTAGTTCGATTTTGACCCATCATTTAAACTTGTTCAACCTACGAGTATTTGCTCTTTTACGAAGAAGCCAGCCATAAAAAAGCTCTTTATT